TTGTTCTTACAAGGAAATCATATGCTATATAATGTTTTGCAGCCACATTTTCCAGTTGGCTTGATTGTTTTAAAGTGAAAAACTGTTTTCCATACTATCCTTTCTTACCTTGCCGTTTTACTGAAAAATAAATCTGAGTGCACAGAGCTGTGTGCTGGCAGGTCCTTGCTGCTTTGCTGGGCTTGAAGTTATCTGCTCCCTTTTGTGCAGGATACCCCTGCTGCCTCTGCCCTGCCCTGGTGTCCAGCTTTCTAACAGACAGGATGCCTCAATCTCTGCCCCCTAGAGACCCCTACAGTGAACCAGCCTCTTTCTCCAAAGGCATCCACTTCCCCAGAGCATTCTAACATTGAAATCCACAACCCCCACCTGTCTTTCCATTGCAGGCTCAGGTGTGGTCTTTACTTTGAGGATTCACTCATCCTCCTGGACCAACATAACAGGTCTCTCCTCAGTTCTCTGGGAATACTACGTACATCCACCTTTCTAGTATTTTCTGCATAGTCCTAAGAGTCTTGGTGTTATGATCTGAATATGAGGTGTCCCCTGAAAGCTCATCTCATTAGATTTTAAGAGCTTTAACTTAATCAGTGGACTGATCCATCTGATGGATTAAAAATTTGAAAGTACTTCAGTACTGGGTGATAACACTGGGTATGGCTGGAGGAAGTAGGTCATCAGGGATGTGCCTTTAGAATTTATATTTTGCCCTTGGCTCTCTCTCTTTTTCACTCTTTGTCTTTGCTTCTTGGCTGCCATGGACTGAGCAGCTCCACCATGTTGTTCTGCCTCATCTCAATCCTAGAGTGATGACATGGTCCAACTATAAACTGAAACCTCTGAAACCTAAGTTTTTCTTGTCTGGTATATTGTGTTCACTTGGTTTTCCATCTTCCTAGTACCAAATGTCAGTGTGATACCAGAGCTCCTTTTTCCTTGTGTCAGCACCTAGATCCTGGCACGTGTTAGGTAGAAATTTATATGGACCATTGTGTAACCATTGTTACTGAAATGTTTGTTAAATTGTTGGATGAAGGACTGAATGAAGCCTAGAAGAACCTGCAAGTGCTGAGCCAATCAAATCTTGATTAACCCTGAAAAAAAAAAAAGCTTGCTGCGATTTACTTAATTTTATGGTAGAATAAAAGTGAAATAAGGATTATTTGGGGAAAGTTGTCAGGTGGCCTCTGACAGCTCTAGTCCCTTTAGTGCACCTTGGGCTGATGAAGTGTAATTTCAAAGGGGTGATTTCTCAGATTCTTACCTATTTCTACCATCCTCTCTTATACCAAGCTATTTCCTTCCAGTCTCTAGATAAACAAAAGCTCCCTCTTTTGTAGGTCCAGATAGATGATTCCTGAAGGCAGTGATTCCAGTTGAATTAAAGATGTTCATATTTGAAGATGTGCATATTTATTTTCATTTCTAGACTACTAGTCTGAGAAGACTGGCTCACCTGCTAGGCTAGGTTTTCAGGAAACAGGCTTGGACAGATTGGGAAGTATAAAATGTTTATTAGGGATAGGCATGTGTGAAAGGAGGAAGAGGAGGAGGGAATAGGATTGGGCAGGGGAGACGATGGAAGTATTGCTATTCTATGAACCTTGGTCAACCCAGTGGAGTGCTCTGGAGATAGTGGTGCTACTGGAGCCATTCAGCTTCTGCTTTACTGAGTCACCTCATACATGTGGCTAACCTGGAAAGGGCCTCACCTCAGCATAGCCAATCTTTGCAGCTAAATCAGGCCTGAAGAGTCTGGCAGGTGACCTCAGTCTTTTCTTGGCTGGGCAACAAATCTTTCCTTGAAGGGGCATTAAAACCATGACATCATCCTTTCTACCATAGTCCCAATATGGAAACCACCACCATGACCTGATACTTCTTGCTTCATGAAATCTCTCATTTCTTCCTCTATTCCTCCAACCCAGATATCCATATCTTAAGTCCCTGTCTTTTCCATCTTTGATGACCAAAGTGGCTTCAGAGCTATTTCCGTAACTCCGGGCTTCCCTTCCTAAAACGTTGCCAGAAATTTTCTAAAATACGGTGTCATGGTTCTTCCCACAGTAATGCTCTTTCAGTGGACTCTGGTGGTCTTGGTGGTGAGATTCATAGTAGTAGGGTTGACAAAGCCTGCTCTCTGGCAAACCCTGTCCTCCTACCCTCATCTCTGACCCTTCTCCCCTAGCGTATGCACCAGTTCACCTGCCCCTTTTGACAGTTCCTGCACAGGTGCCTCCTCACTTCTTCCTTGGTCTTTGCTCCAGATGGTTCCTTTGTTGAGACATCTACCCATGGTCCTACAGCACATGATTAGACCACAGACTTCTTGCCTGACTTCTCAGGACTGCGTGCCTCACTGTGGCCTGCAGCCTCCTTTTGGGAGCAGAGAGGACCCTCAATCAAATCTACCTCACACCAACTAAAATCTTCCAAATGACTCTAGATAAGAATGCCTCACCCTGCTAATCCTCGTGTTGTCTGGAGCTTATTTAACGAAAATCACCCCTTTGCTGTTTGTAGAGATTGGGGATAAAGGTGGAACACAAATTCCATTTGACCTTCCTGTGAAAATTAACCCTTTAACCAAAAAGAAAAAATAATAAATGAATTTAGTGGACAAGATTTCCAAATGGTGCTATTTTTAAAATTCTTGTTCTAAAACTACTTCTCTGGATTCTTTCATTCTTTCAAAATACACTTGAGAACAATACCTGTTCCATAAGTGATAAGGTAGTGAATAGGAACATGGGTTTTTGTTTCCCGTCAAAGGAGAATTCATGCCCGTCTCCAGCTCTTAAGCTGTGCCACTGTGGGGAATTTACTTTTCATCTTAAATTTCCATTTTCCCATCTCTCTGAAATGGGGGATAGTACAGGTACTATTGTACCCCTCATGGAGGTGTGCTATTAAAATTAGGTGAGAAAATGACTATTATGTATTTAGCAAAGTGCTTGACAGAGAAGTGCTCATGACTGGAATGATGTCTATTATGTATCACTCACTAGATGAAGTGACATAGTTAAGATGTTGTCCAAGACCAAAGTGTCCAGAAGCACAAGTCTCCTCTTCCAGGCTTTTGCTACCCTCGGTATTCAATATTCAATGCAGACTAGAGGTTTTCCTCCCTCCACCTCCTTACTCCAGCATCTTCACCTTGTCCTCTAGACCACCATCCAATAGACATTTCACATAATCTGCATATGTAACTAAATTTCCCAGCAGCCTTGATAAAGTTTAAAAAAATTTAAGTGAACCAGGCATAGTGGTGAACATCTATAATATCTGTGACTTGGCAGGCTGAAGCAGGATGATCACAAGTTCAAGGCACAGCCTCAGCAATTTAGCAAGGCCCTAAGCAACTTAGTGAGATTTTGTGTCGAAATAAAAAATAAAAAGGACTGAGGATGCAGCTAGTGGTAAAGCACCCCTGGGTTCAATCCCTAGTACAAAAAACAAAACAAACAAACAAACAAAAGATTAGGTGAAATCAATATATTATATCTTATTTAACCTATTGTATCCAAAATATCATTTCAATTTCAACATGTAATTGATTAAAAAAATGCATTATTTGACATTCATTTTTCTAGACTGAATCTTTGGTATTTTGTATATATTTTCTACTTAGCATATCTCAGTTCATACACTGCATTTTTTGTGGGAAATAACTTATTAGATAACTTGAGTTATTATTGAAAAAGTAGATGTTTCTACCCAGGTTGTTTCAGACACAGAGTTTTTCAGTAATTGAATTCAATATCAGTTTTTAAAATTTAGATGAATATTAATTAAAATCAAACAAAATGGAAAACCTGGATCCTCAGTTATCCCAGCTACATTTTCAGGTGATCAATACACATGTGCCCAGTAGCAGCTATTTTGGACCAAGAAGTTCAGAAGCCCCTGAAGAATATTCAGTCTTCTTGGCTACACTTTTTTCACATTCAGATGTGCTACAAGCTCTCTAGTTAAAATGGAGAAACATAGTGCTGTGCAGGTACTCTGTCTCCCTTCAGAAGAGAATGGTTAAGCCATTCACCTTCTGCCCTGCTCTTATCTTCACAATAACTTCTGTGTTCAGAAGTCCTGGGGTACCTTGGCACCCCAAAAATTCCTGACCACAATTTAGAATTCCAGAATCTTGGGTCTCAAAGGGGCTTTAACACATTTATGGATCAATGCCTATCTAATCCCCACAGTAGAGAAAGCCTTATTATAGAATTTTTCGAGGGTAGGAGTGGGCTGAGCTTCTCTTAAATACCTGGGAACAGATGGGTCATTTCATTCTCTTCTGGCTCACATGGTTCTCTGTGTCCTTATCTCATCTTCCTAACTAGGTTGGGAGCATGGACTGCCTTTTACAGCCCCACAATACTCACACAAAGGAAGACAGTCAATAAATTATTAACTGAAGGCCTGACTGACTGTAAGAATTCAAGGTCACTTGAAATATCAGGGTCATTGCATTTCACAAGTCCAAAGAACATTAATAAAATTGTACTCTGTGGTTGTGCAAGTAGCAGCCTTCTAAAGTTTACAAGTTTAGATTAGGCTCTCTTTTCAGCTTAGAAAAACTTTCAAGAAATTCTTCCTTGGGGCAAAATACTTCCCTCCCTTATCCATTAATAGAAAGAACTATCCAAATAAGTGTTCTCAAATTGTTTAGGAATATATGTTCACCTAGTCTCTAAAAGGCCACTGTATTTTTATTTTTTTATATAATTTCCCATTCTTGGAATCTTTCTCTGGTATGAGTGACACCTTGGAGCTCCTAGTTTGCAAACCATCCCAAAGCATGACCCAAATATACCAAGGCCATGCACCTAGGTCACCAAATGAGCAAAGGGACTCTTCATGGCTGCATGATTTTTATCTTTGTGAAGCTGAGAAAATGCAGGGGAGGAAGGAAGGAACAAACAAATTCTCTTAAGAAAACCTCTGTTCGCCTTTGTGTTTTCCAAACTAATGAGTGTTTGTTTTTTCTCATGTCTGCTCAGGAAACCAGGTGCTACCTCCCGGAACTTCTCTTGGAAGTGGGCTTACACCAGAGGCTGCAAAGGAGCTTGGCCTTCGCCCCGGGGTCCCGGTGGCAGCCTCGCTCATTGATGCCCATGCCGGAGGACTAGGTAATCTTTTATTCCATGCCACAAACAGCTGTGTTCAAGTGGAACATTCTGCAGAGCTAAGACACCCATTTTGTATATTTAAAGCAAAGGTCAAGGACTAGTGAGTCAAGGTGTAATAATGAAAAGCCTTTTCACAGATAGGCATTTGGATAGAATTATAGACCTACCTTTTCATCCAATATAAAACCTATTTATATATTCTTAACTTTTTCAACATAGTAATATAAAAAACAATCTGAGCAAGTGTCTGGATGGCTCTTCAGTTTACTGGAAAATTGAAAAGCATATGTTCACTTTTATCTAGTAGGTTTGATAACCATGCACTTACTGTACTCTGCTTTCTAATAGTATTGCAAAACCTTGTAAGTCTAACAGGTTTGTTCTTATAATATTTGGGTTTTGTCATATATCCGTTTACTTGGTACTAGTCTTGATTTCATCTCATATATAACTCTAAAATCTGTGATTCGTGCATTCTTTAATTCATTCTCAAATACACATTGAGCATTTCCCATGTCATGGCATGATACTAGGAAACTGAATTTAAAATAAAACCAAACCAGGGCTGTGAATGTAAGACCCCGCGTTTGATTCCCAACACCAAAATAAGTAAATAAAATAAACAAATGTCAAATTTTAGTGGAAAGTACACATGAAGTCAAAAAGATTTATTGTAAAAATGTGGTGGTGACTTTGTTCTTATCCACATTCCTTTTACAATTTTCTTTTCTTTCTTGGGTAATTTGACTCTCTCTCAGTGTCTCTCCCTTTACCCTTCCCTGTAGTTATTTCTATATTTCCTAGACTTTCATTCTAATAGCATCTTTTATGAATGTAGTTCATAGTTCATGGCATGAGTTAAAGAGGACATGACTGTTGGAATTTCAGAATAGAATGGGATCTAATAGAATAGAACAGAGTAGAACACATAAGAGTACATCTCATAGAGTAAGGATAAGCACTGTTTCGTGGACCTGTTTCCTGTGTGTGTGTGTGTGTGTGTGTGTGTGTGTGTGTATTCTAGGCAATGAAGGAAATGAATTTCTTATTATGAATCATGATCAAAAACCTGACCAGGTTTGGTGGCATACCAGTTACTTGAGAGGCTAAGGAAAGGGGATCACTTGAGTCCAGGAGATTAGAACCAGCCTGGGCAACATTGTCCCATTGGGGATGACTTTTAGGGAACACACACACCACAGCAGCTCTCTACTTTTCCAAGTAGATGACACCTCCCCCCACCTCAATCTCTCTCTTCCTCCTTTTGGTGATCCTGGAGATCATGCATGCTAGGTAAGCACTCTACCACTAAGCTATACTCCTATTCTCACTCCTCTAAATTGAAATCCTTTCTCAGATGGTTTCTTCTCTGCATATACTTCCATGGAGTAGTCAGATATATTAAGAAATTCTCCAGATTGTGCTTCTTTCATTACTTTAATTTTTTTGAAGAAATGATCACCTTGTGTTTTAGTTTCTGATTTATCTGTTTATCTTTTCCACTAGACTGTGAATTCCCTGAGGACTCCTCAATGCTGAGCCTTATGTCTTGACTTTAAAGGCGCTTGATAAGTTTACTAAATAAAGTCTCATTAAGACAAGAATAAGGTAAAATGGTCTTAAACTTACAGTAAAGGCTGATATGTTTCCTTGTGTGACAGATTGTTCTTCTGCATGGTCCACAGACTTGCAGAAACAGTATGGCACTCATCAATCTATGAACGTGTCTGTCCTGTTCATCTTTCTGTCCTCAGGCTCTGGCACAGTGCCTAAGAAATAATAAACAAGCAGAGTGTGTGTGACTGGTCGAGAGGTACATAATGGAGCCCTATTATAGGCAAGGGCGTTTGTCTCAAAGCACTTTGTAGTGTGAGCAGTGTGTGCTTTTGGTTGGAATGCATGATTTGGGTTTTTAAGCACAAACAGAGAGAACTGAAGGTCCAGCTGGACATGGAGTGCTCCTATCCCTAGTAATCCTGATGTTCTACATCACAGAAGACTCCAGGGAAGCTTTCTTCATTGTGATTTTGCAATTGTCCCTGGGGCGACAGTCTCAACCATCCACCCGTACCCAGGTGACAAGCACTTGGCTGCTCATCCGTGTGCTGAAAGAAATAAGACTGCACTCAGGAGCAACAGGCACTGTCGTTTCCTTGTTGGCGTCCCAGACCTCTGTAAGAGACGTGCCAAACACACCTTCTCACTTCTCCCTAGGACTTTCTGTGCTCTTCAGTAGGACAGACTTCCAGATGACCGTGGCTTTCTCCTAACAGAGATGCTCAATGATAGAATTTTTACCTGTAGACACTTTGGCTTAGACCTTTTGTTCCCTTTAAAATACAAATGCTCTTGAGTCAGTGAGTTTCCTCTATGTTTTCCAAAAAGTTAGTTTTTTAAGTGGAAAGATAGGATAAGACATTAGATTCTTTAAGGACTTGAGCTTTGTGCCAGCAATAGCTGGGAAGGGAGTTCTTGGTCACACAGGATTGGAAATCCCTACTTAACAATTTTGAACAAGTTTGATCCTTCTTATACTACTCCTCTCCCCTTCACCTTATGGCCAGTTCAGGATCAGAATATCTGGGAAAGACAGGAGCCATAGAACAAATGTTCCCTCTCATTTTCCACCTTGCCTCCACCCTCTCAAGATGTGAAGAATAAGAGAGGCCTAAACATCCTAAAAAGATCACCCAGTAGTCAAACCAAAGATTTATACTAAAGATCATGCAACCTTATCAGTTATGTGTTTGGAAACCAGAGATTGTCATCATGAACAAACCATAGAACTCCTATTCCTTTCAGAGAGAAAATTCTCTGGCCTGCTTAATAGTGTTCTCTTATGATAGTGAATCTTCTGAGACTTATTGTAACACTGTGATAAGGCCATTCCACACACAGTCTGAAGATCTGGATTAAATTCCTATTCTGCCTACACACAGTGTGCCTTTTAGCATATTCCTTTCTTCTTCTATAGTAAGAGCTAGCAATCTTTTCATAGGATTGGTATAAGAAATGGTAATGTAAATAGTTAAAGCAATTGGCCTACTAACTGGCACACAGTAAGCATGCAATAATGAGGTTTGATTTCCTCACTCCAGAACCACAATGCCTGACACACAGTAGAAGCTTCATAAACAATGTTGCCTGTTAGGAAGTTGTTTCCTGTTAGGAAGTGTCTTACCAGAACTGGATTCTTAAGGCAAGACATGTGGAGAAGGACCAGAGGTACTGGACTCCCTCTGCCTTCCCTGAATTTGCCCTCAGTTTCTTCCTCTACCCACCTATCACAGAAAGCAGGATTCACTGCTTTAAGATTCTTTCTTGGTCAAGATCAGAAACAACCCCAGGAACTGCTTGGATGCACTCTGTGTTAAGAGATCCCCAAATGTCAGGAACGAACTCAGCTTTGAAGTAGGAATTGGAGGTCAGCCATGCCTGTCACAAACAAGCTCTGACAACTGTGGTCATTTACAGTGCTAGCCTAGTATGACCTACCTTGGACTCTATGCCCAAGGAGAACCTGGGATGGGAGGATACAGATCATAGGAGCAAGCACAACTTCACTCATGCTTTTTTCCAGCTCTGGAAACAAGGAAGAAGGACTTTGCCGGAATAGAAATCAAAGATAAAAGAACATTTTGTTCTTAAGGTGCTGGTTAGCAAGTTCTTCAGCAGACAGCCAGAAGATAGGAGTAGCTTTGTTTGCACTTTGTGGGGGTGGTTCTGGCCAGGGCTCCTGCTGGTGGTATTTTTCTAGCTTATAAAAATAGCATTAACTTTGTTCCAGGTCTTTTCTTGGCTTTAGCACCCCACCTATCCTGAGAGGCAATAACAACCTGTTTTCTCTCTTAGGCCCCTCTCTTAGTTGTTATTCTTTATTGACCAAACTCCTGATTATCTATCAGATCTTGAAGATGCTACCTGTTTCTCTGGGAAGTCTTCCTTGACTCTCGAAGCTGGCTGAAGCACACTTTCTTCTTTGTTCTTACTTTGTCTTGTGTTTACATGTTTATGTGCAACATAGTTTCATCTAATTCCTAACCCCTTTAACACATGACTAGTTTATCCTCATAAACCACAACTGTGCAGTGGTTTGCACATAGAGGGTCCTAAATACCTGCATATTTAGTAAATGAATGAATGGCATTTCCTCCATAGGGGGTGGATATTTCAGCTGAGAGATATAGTAACCTCTCCTTATAGAGGCAACTGTCCTTATATAGAAGTTACATCTGACTCTGTTCTCTAGGAGCAAGAGAGTCTGGTTTGTACACTCCCTAAGCAACTCGTAGGTGCCTGGAAATCTCCATCCTTTGTGTTCCCACCACATTAGCAGGTTTTGGCCAAGAGCAAACTTTGTGGCTAGGTTTAGCACCACTCTTTGATGAACAATACAGGATTCTTTGCCAGATGTTGGATTGGCTTAAATTGCTCATCTGGACCAGATGTTGGATTGGCTTAAAAACTGCTCATCTGAGTTGCAGAGTCGAACCAAAATAAGGATTTTGAATTTCTTTTCTTCTTTTTTTTCTTTAATGCCAGACAAATTTATTCAACTAGTCTTGGAAAAGAGTTTCTGATCAGTGCTTCCCAGAGCAAAGCATAGTGTGTTCAAATAAGCAATAAAATACACCAATTTCTTATCTTACCATTACCAGTGTTCTAGAAGAATGGGTAGACAGACAACAAATTTAGCTTGATGATTTGGGGGAGTATTTATAAGATATATACATATGTGTGTATATATATATATATATATATATATATATATGTGTGTGTGTGTATGTGTGTGTGTGTGTATGTGTGTGAATATATATTAATAAATTACATAATTTATTAATTTATTTTTTAATTTACACATATATATTAATACACACACAGACACACACACACACATATATATATATATATATATATTTGTCATGTTTGACTAAGAAACATACTTACTAGGAATAAAATATATGTATATATATTTGTCATGTTTGACTAAGAAACATACT